TGCCCCCTGATCACTCACTTTCTCTACACTGATGAACATTTTGCTTTCCTGTTGCATCGCCTGAATCCTGTGAGTACTGACCTCACTTCAGTGATAATTTCAGGTTGAATTAATCTCTATGTTTTGATGAATTTACTGTGTTGAAAAAATATTGGATGAGCTCAAATGACCCCTTTTACTCAGTCTTGTCCTCTGTACTTCTTCCAGTTCCAAAGTCCTATGCAGTGCATTTCTTATGGCTGTTCTCTGTGAAAGCTGCTACGAGTTCATTATTTCTCCAGCGCCATGTATTGTGTGTGGTTAGTCCGCTCACAAGAGAGGGGATTCACAGAGGGATAAAGTAAGGGCTCTCAGCAGCACTGTTCAACTTTATTTTTTTGTAATAGAATAGGAAACTTCAAAAATGAGCTTCACACAGTCATTCCTGGGAGAAAGCAAGTACAAAATGGCCTCGAACTGGGAAGCTCCCATGGAATCAATAGAATCCTGTACTTGTCCCTATGCAATTAAGCCCATTTAGTAGGGACTTTCCCACTGAACCATGTATGAAAGCAGGGCTTACCTCCACTTTCAATGAGCACATCCAGGAGCTCATCCATCTGCTGACTTCGAGTCATCTGCTACAGCAAAAGACCACAAGAATTGAGCTGGTAAAAGGTGAGTTCTTTAGGCTATGACCCAGAGAATGAAATGCAGTTGTTATAACTTTAGAGGTTAAGACTGAGACCGCCATGCAGAAAAAGGCAAGGCAGAGGAACTACCTAAAGGCCCCGTGACTGAAGGTGATGCTGTAGATCTTGGAACTATGTGGCTCTCCATCTCCTAACACTACATTATCTAGAAAGCAGAGCTGGTGTGAAACTCATGAAGGGCCTTCGGCAGAGGCTAAGGAGTGGGTTCTTTCCTCTCCTTCCTTTATGTAAGTGACCTTCACTTAATGGGATCGCCTGTGGATGAGGGCTCTGGGCAACCGGTTTTGCTGCTCCCTGCAAAAACACCTCACCTACCCCCCTCACTGCAGAGAGCTCAGAGCTCACATAATCACTTGAGAGCCACGTTTCAGAGGTATCTAAATTGGTACTTAATCTGCAATGAAGGGTTTAGAGTCTGAGGAACAAGTCAGGATGAACACAGCCTTGTCAACGCTCCCATTTTCTACCTGTACTGACCTGCCTATGCCTTTTCCTACTGCTTAGAGGAGCCTCATGTATAAAACTGACTTTTCATGCCCTTTCATTTAATGCAAAAATGACCCCGTGTTCCCTCCAACTGACTTGTACCCATGTTTCAGTCTACCTATCATCCCCTTGGTATAAGTCTTGGTCCAATTTCTAGTCCACCTCCCTAAAGCTATTATCACAATTGGGACTAAGAGTTACCCCTCTTGGAAGCCTTACATGAGATGGAAGGGATTAAATTAATCATGGAAGCTGAGATACTTTTTCCCCAAAAGCTGAGTTCCTTCCAGAACAAGGCTGAGGCAAATGGGCAGGAGGCAGAAAAAGGCAATTTTGTATTTGCTTGCAGGATAAATATATATAAATGCCAAAATTTCCCAAAGGGATTAATGATGTTTGGTATTCATCTTGAGGCACCTAAAAGGGGCCTGATTTTCACCCATAAGTAAGTACCCATGCTTTAGACCAGGGGCAGGCAATTATTTTGGGTGGAGGACTGCTTATGAAGTTTTGGGGAGCTGTCGAGGGCCACATAGGTAGCCCTGCCCTTTAACAGTTGCCCTGCTCCCCAGTTGCCATACTGGGACCAGAAGTCCTGCCCCCAACCCCTGACCTTTGCCACCAGAAGTCCTTTCCCTTGCCCTGGAAATACTCCTTTTGGGAGGAAGGGTGCTGCAGTTTTGAAACTGGAAAAAAATCCAAATCATGTACAAAAAAATTAAACCGACTATAACTTATTTTAATTTTATTTTAAAATATTTTTGAACTGATTTATGTCTTTATGAAGTGTATCTAGAGGTGACTGCATAATATGTCAAAATACAGTCCTACTGTATGTTGTGTGTGGGTGGTCAAGGGATGTATGTGGCAAGGTGTGGTTGGGAAGTGGGTGTGTGGGTATGGTAGGGTTTGGGTATGGTGGGTGCGATGGGAAAGAAAAAGAGAGATGGGGCTGGGTTGCCGGCTCCATTGCATGCAGCTGTTGCATACTGCATGAAAGCCTCACGCGATGCAGCCAGGCAGACCCCGTGCCCCCATGGCCACCTACCACCACTGCTGTCCTCTGCCCCCGCCCCCGCCGCCTGCTGCTTCCTGTTCTGGCTCCAGCCCAGCTTGGCAAGCACCATGGGACTCCTGGCTGATGGGTGGTTTGCGGAGGTTTTCTCCTGTCCCTTCATCCAATCTTATCTTACTTTCCACTCGGATGGAGGGAGGCAGGGAATAGCTCCAGGGATGTGTG